TACATAACACGCAACAGCTGCAAAGGACACAATAGGGGGAAGTATTTTTTTAAGAAAAATAACCCATTGGGAGATTTGGGGACAGATAAGGACAGGTTAGGCTTTCTTTTCCTACCTGAATAAATTACAGGCAGATTAATACAGTTGAGATTAGGGCAGTAAGACGGAAGATTCTCACATGCACCATTGAAAGGAGGCCCCTATTATTCACCACGGTTTCAACCTCAATACGGGCGCGTTATGTAAAACAAAAGAGAACCTGTGAGAGTTGCTCACCATATGGTGAGCCCCATAAATTAATCATCAGTGGCTTAAGCTTCGACAACACCTACATCGCATTGGAATGCGCTGAGGTTGGGAAAGGTGCTACATAAATGCAAGTTATTTCTTTCCTGCTTAAAGTGAAAGTGGAGCGAAAGTTTGCTGCAGCCTCCACTAATGTAACTGGTGAATACAAAGCCACAGTGTCATTTCAGATTGAGCGCTCACAGCGTCCAGCGATTCAGTGATAAACCATTCACGCACGTTAAGCAATGAGGCTACTGTGAGCAAGTACTGTATGAAAGTCACAGTTCAGGATTACCATATCTTCAGAGTGTCTCTCCTACATTCAACCAATTGTGCAAAATTCCATGTTAGTTCACTCGTGAATGGCTTGTGTCAGGTTCACGTGACTCAAAACACTCATCACACTCGAGAGCCCGGATTTCGATAAATGTTAATGTGCAGGTATGTGATAACATCACATTGCCAATGAGATCAGGGTCATTTCAGCCGAACACCGCTGGGACCTGCGAGATAAAACTCTCAGGTACTAGCAATAGATCAATGAACCAAAACAAACCACCCTATTAACATTTGCTCTTTCAGTTAAAAATCAATTCCCAGTCACAGTGAGTAATCCTGAACCTTCTGAATAAACAAGAAAACTACTGCATAGCTGGAAACTTATTAACTGTTGAACAAACAGCAAACACTGCAGAGAGAGAGTGTCATGTTTGAAAGGGCGTTGGAAGGAGCTAGGGATTAACTCGGCTCAGAAAGGGAGCCCCGAAGACTGAGACAAATGAATGCTGCACCTTTGCAGTCCACTCCCTGCCTCAGCAAATGCAGCGGAGACTGATTTGAGCGAGGCATTTAAAACGATGCTTATTATGGGCTTGATGACCACGTCACAAATTATCACCAGGCGGTGCAAAAGGCTGTCAACAAAATGTTAGCCAAACCCAACAGCCTCACATTTAAAATGATGGATTGATCCAATAGCTACTATTTTTTGCTACAGGGAATACAGCACTTGGATCATTCTCTGTCTGAAGGCACATTCCCCAAATGTCTCACCTTTATCCAGATCCTTTTTTTCAAGGTTGGTCCTAGACTGCCCCAACAACAGGAAATAATTCTCTCAAACAACCCTCTCAATTTCTTACAAGATGCTAAAGGCCTCAATAAGATCAGCCATCCGCCTTTGTTTCAGGGATTAATTGAGTAACCTCTCCTCAAAGTCCACCCCTTGGGGCCCTGGTAACATTCCGGTCAATCTGCACTGCGCCTTGCCTAAGTAATCTTCCTAAAGTACAAATACTCAGAGCTGTACACGGTATGCGGATGTGGTGTACAGCACTTTGCAGTAAAACATCCTCCCCTATATATTCCAGCCCTTGCATTGTAATGGCTAACATTCAATTATTCTCTTAGATCATGTTTTGGACTTGACTACTACATTTTATTAACTCCGTAGATTAACACCCAAAATGCTTTGGACTTCTACTGTTCACTAGTTAAAAAATGCTCTGGTTTTTGGGACCAAGATCAATGACTTCACATCTGATGAAATCCATCTGCCTTACTTCTGTCTCACACTTAATCTATCATTATTACTGTAACGCTATGCTTTCATTACACCATTTGTAATGACAAAGATCACCCTACCATCAACAAAATGGATCTCTTTGTGATCTCCAAGTCGATTTACCCTTCTTAATAAACAGAAATGTTGTGCACTGATGGAGTCAGTAGCCCCTGATCTGCAGAATGAATAAAAGCATGAGACTATCACCTTTAAAACACTGCAGAAAACAAGAATAATACAGATAAACTAAAACCTTATTTTTATTTCAAATGAGAACAGATATGAATGGAAACAGATAAATTATAGAACAGATAGTTGTATGTACTTCTTGCTAAAAGAATGGTAAGTATTTTGAATAATATATGAAGCAAGATAATAGAGATAGATACTGGTGTTTTTCAAAATAAAATTACATGCCTTGACTGAACAAGCAATGCTGTATAATAATATCCATTTGTCACCTATGAAATTTCTTTCTTCAGCTGAAGAATTCAATCACAAATTTCACAAATAACATCTGCTCCACTGAATAAATCTCCATCAGTAACACAGCAACCGACCATCAGTCTCCTGAATGAAAACATACTCAGCTGGTGCACAAACCCATCTCCTCTAGTGCACACACTATCCACACCCTGCTTAGTCAACACACATTCTACTGGTACACTGACTCATCCTCTGAGATGTCTACGCTCCAAAGATTCTGGCCTCGGGAGCCGCTCTAATTTTGCCATTGACAACCGTGCCTTCAGCTTTGCAGGCCTTAAATTATTGATTTCTCTCCTCAAACCTCTGTTTGCCTATCCTTTCTCTCCTTTAAAATGTTCCTTTCTTGCTTTCTTAAAATCTACCTCTGACTACCATCTTTGTGAGAGGCATGGGGCCAATAATGGTTGATAACATTGCCCCGTAATGTGGCCTGGAATATTTTACCACATTACGTGAAAGGTATATAAGCACGAATTTTGACTGTTACCATTGTTAAAATCTGCCTTCTTTAATCAAGCTTGGAATGTCTTCGTATCAACAAGTGAAAGGCTATTCTTGAACTATAAAACTCTGTCTATGTTTGTCTGAATGATTTAGAGGCCCCACAAATAATGAGGTCTAGGAGGTAAGGAAGAACAGCCAAAAAGCAAATAGAGGACCATCCAGGATTCAATGTTCAATTTTTGAACCAAGCCATTCTGGAGGCATATATAAAGGTAGTTTTTTTTGGCTTTAATAGGACATTTCACTGCAGTATGGGAGTGAGCACAACAAAAATTCCTCAGAGTGATGCTGTTTTAAAGGAATAAATTATGAAGACAGGTCATATCGATGATGAGACACCACAGTGTGGAGCTGGAGGAACACAGCAGGCCAGGCAGCATCAGAGGAGCAGGAATGTTGACATTTCGGGTTGGGACCCTTCTTCAGAAATGGGGGAGTGAGAAGGGAGCTCTGAAATAAATAGAGAGGAGAGGGTGGGGCTGCAGAAGGACCAGAGGGTTGTAGTGGGAGAGAGATCCACTGAGGTCTTTCTGGAGGGAGGAGGATAACTTCTTCAAAGTGGGCATCCTTGGAAGAGGCTTCGCAGTGGGGTTATAACTCAGAGAAAGCAAGAACTGCCGATGCTGGAGTCAGAGATAACACAGTGTGGAGCTGGAGGAACACAGCAGGCCGGGCAGCATCAGAGACTCTTCCAACTATATTCCCAGAGGTGGGAATGTTATCCCAATACTCTTAAAGAATGATCTAATTGAGATGTTTAAGAGGATCATAAGATTTGACACAAAGTAGGTAGAAACTGTTTTTTTTTCTGGTGTGACTGCCCAGCACAAATGGATGTAACCTTATCATTAAAGTTGGATGAGTGGCACTGTGGTATTGTCCCTGCCTCTGAGCCAAGAAACCTGGGTTCAAGTTCTTCTGCTCCAGAGGTGTGTTATACCGTGTCTGCACAGTTTGATTAGAAATATCGAGCACTGAAGTCAAGCTTTTCAGGAGTAATGACAAGTAGACTTCCTCATCCAAAAGATAATGAAAATCTGGAAGTTTCTCCCTCATGAAGAGATTATAGGTCAATTGATAATTTCTTAAACTGAAACAGATAGATCTTTCTTTGGCAGGGTGATCCACAATGGTTAGATAAAGTCTCAGATCAGCCATCATCTTATTGAATGGCTAAATAGGTTTGAAAGGCCAAAATGGTCAATTCTCGCTTCGACATTCCTCGCAGACAGGTCCCCAGTTTTCGGGAAAATTTTTAGATTTTGTGAATTTGTTCTGCAAGTGCTGCAATGGCAACCACTTATCTTCAGAATGGCCAACACTAAATAAACCTAGTTCCTGATCGCAACTGTGGATTTGAAAGAAATACTCAGGTAATTAAACAACACATTGATATTTATACTGCAGTCACATTAGATTTTTGTCTACTCTATCCATTTGTTAATTCTGTGGCTGGATTTGGACAGGTCCGACAAACAAATCGAGCATACTACATGATTCCGTAAGCAAATGTGTATTGCACTACCTTTAAAAATGCTAAAAATGTGAAGGTTGTCGTTGAGTGATTTATCCTTTGAGGAAGAGATGACCATTTGTCGTCTGGACAGTTTGCTGGCTTGGAACTTCCTCTCTTTAAGGTTAAAATTACCTGCCTAAGCCATTTGTATTTAATGTTGCCATTAGGATGTCAATTTGTGCAATTGGCCTTTAGATCCACATTCCTTTTCTAAATATTTCTAACCATCCTGTTCAGTCATATTAATGATACACTTCTGGAGCTGGTGGGACTTGAGACCCGGGTCTCCTGGCCTGGAGGTAGGGCCAATACCACTCCACCACAAAAACCTTCATATTTTTGTATATCAGACGTATCCCTGCTCGGTTAAGTGACAAAACCATTTAAGTGATTAGCACCTCCAATGACCATGTTTTCCCCCATTAAACATATGTAATTGCAGCCATTTATTTCCAGTTTGCAAAATTATCTCACATTTGAACATGCCATTTTGTACAAGAAATGCTTAAAGTCCTGTTTAATGAGGAAGAGCCACCAATTATTCTTCAAAGAGGTCAAAGATTGATTGATCCAGGGTCTGACTGTCTTCCCGTTAAGCACATAAAACACATAAAGTCAAAAGTGCAAGTTCCGCCTGACCTGTGAGGTAATCTGGATCCGGAATGGGTTCAGACAGCAATTCCTGACAATGGCTTTCACTGGGCAGAGCTGATACAACCACTCCATCTGGCAGTTGCTGTGGTATACCATTCATCACATTCTTCTGTCTAAAGGAGAGAGAGAGAAGAAAACAGTCCATGATGGAAACAGTTTGTGGGATATTATCACTGCACAATCTGTAGACATTGACCAATTCATTTATTAAGACAGACACCACACCCTCAATTTTTCTTTGTTTGAAGAGCACAATTAATAATATTATGCATTTTTCAAAATTTAAAGCCAAACGTCTTTTCTGGAACTGGAGACAGTGAGTGGAATTTGGCCATTTAGGAGGGATATTTGGTTCCTATGGATCAGCAAGGTCCCTTGCTCCATCCTCGCTCACCCACTTTCTTGCCCCAGTCATAATTTCTAGCTTCCCCTGAAGGTCCTTTGCATTATTTTAAAACTGCTAAGTCCGAATGGGCAAGTCACACACAGTTAAATGTAATATTATAATTTAGCACGTATTTTGCTGAACGGTTAGAACTGCTGCCTGTACTCTGAGCATGCACAAAGACTTTCTAAAACAGACGCTGAGTTGGTTTGTCAGTGTTACCGCTCGGTAGTGTAACATTGCACCTCAGCAGATTCTCAAATCTTGATGATTTGCTTTTCTGAACTGCAGGGTTTTTTTTTTGAAAAGGAATACGTTTGAATGTTGCACCATCCTGAGGAGAAGCTGATTTGGGCGTTCCGGATACCCCAGTCCCCAAATGGGATCTTCCATTAGGTCCAAAGGAGCAACAAAATGCAGAGGTAAATTTGCCAAAAGCTCTCTCTCTTAATTCATGATAATAGCATCTGTAAGTAAAACTGACTTTAAAGTTTACCAGAATATTTTCTTGCTGTCCTTGTTGTCAGTTGTACATTTCTCATCCACCAATTTAAAGCCTGGATTGTATTATGACATTTCATCAGAATACATGAACAGTGGTATACCATTCAGCCCCATGATTCAATTTCATTCTGGCTTATCATTTGAAATGCCATTTACCCACTTCATCCCCATCACCTTGTATGCCATTGGTAATCAGAAGTCTATCACTCCATGACGTGAAAAATACTCAAAGGCTGAGCTTCCATAGCCCTCTGTGGTAGAGAGTATCGGAGGTTAACAACACTCTAAGTTAAATGATTTTTCATAATCTCAGGCCCGATTGGCATCCCTCTTATTTTAAAATTGTGCCCCCCCAGTTTCTGGACTCCTTAAGCTGGGGAAATACATTGTCTTAATTTACCCTGTCTATTGCTCTCAGCATTTTGTAAATTTCAATGAAATCGCATCTCATTCTTCAAAAACTCTTGGGACCAGAAGGTTAGATTGCCCAATCTCTCTTCATTGGATAGCCCTGCTCGCCCAAGAACACTTCAAGTGAACCTTCTCTGCATTCCCTCCCTGGCAATAAGATCTTTCCTGAGACAAAAACTCCAGAACTGCACACATTACCCCAGGTGTGGTCTAACCAAGCTTCTGTACAATTGAAACAAGACTTCACTAATTCGTACTCAAATCCTCTTGTAATAAAGGTTAACATTCCATTGGCATTCCTAATAGCTTACTGCACCTGAATGTTAACCTTCAGTGACTTAGTGACAGGGACACCTAGGTCTGTTTAGATATCTAGACTTTCCATCCTCTTATCATGTAAGAAATATTACACATGTCTGTTTCTCCTACTAATGTGCATAACCTCACATTTTCCCACATTATATTTATCTGTCATGTTCTTATTCATTCAATAAAACCTGCTGAAATCCTCCTGAAGCCATTTAATATCTTTTCTCACAATACATATTCCCACTTAGCTTTGTATCATATGCAAATATTAATTAACTTAGAACAGTAAATATGACAGAAAATTAATCTAAGTAATTACATAAAGGTTTACCTTCAGTTTCTGCTATCATAACACAGTCCTATGATACCAGAAATGTCCCTGCAGCTTCCTTTGTAAAGTCTTTTAGACTTGAATGATTCCACAGCATCTCACTGTATCTAAACTATCCATGAATTTAGTATCACCAAATTCATGGATTCTGAACTTTTCTTGACCAGCCGCCTATCCTCTACCTCCTGAAAAGCTACAGCTTCTCCAAAACGCTGCTACCTGTATCCTACCCCATAATAAAATCCATTCACCCATCTGATCGAACAGGTAGGCAATGGAATGTTTGGTCTGTCCCATCCACTAGATTTAGCTTCACACTTGAAGGGAGATTTATGGGAAAAGGGGGAGAGTGGAGCCAGTGACTACAGTTAGCACAGATCTAATCCAAGTTCTCTGGCACAGTGGAATCAGCTTCACATTAGATGGGTTTCTTCACTAAATCCACTCCCAGAGGAACCCTGCCTAATCAAATTGGTACACAACATTGGGATTATATATTTAGAACAAAATAGTGAAAATCCAGCTTGGTATGGATCCTCACAGGATGCTGAAAGAATATCTTTCATTGGTCAAGGGACCTGAACAGCAACTTTTTCACACAGAGGGTGGTAAGTGTACGGAATGAGTTGCCAGTGGAAGTGGTAGAAGTGGGTACAATTACAACTTTTAAAAGACATTTGGACAGGTACATGAACAGAAAGCGTTTATAGGGGTATGGGCCAAAGGCTGGCAAATAAGACTAGTTCAGTTTAGGATACCCAGTTGGCGAGGACAGGTTTGGGCCGAAGGGTCTGTTCCATGCTGTATGACTACGTGATAAGACATCTGAAGCTTTAGGCAATAGCTGTATGAAGACACTCTCTGACACGTAGGCATAAGATGTGTTCGTTTCTGAGGATTAGGGTGCAGTGGCAGCCAGCTACTGGTGAACTCTGTTATCATCAGCTGGTGGAATAAGCATTCAGTGAAACACAGTTATTTATATTAAGCTCAGTTGGATCATAGCAATGAACTTTGGACAAAATGGAGCTCCTTCACTAGGCTGTTAGCAAGACATTGTAATACCCATTATCCACTGAACAAGGATTCAGTGTTCAAATGGTGAAATGACCAGACAATGATTAGCCTCCTTGGGATGATGACTCTTGTGCTGTTCGTGTAGCATCCCTATCTTTAGATTTAAAGATGTGGGATAAAATCCCACCTACTCCATAGATGTGTCATTAATACAGGTCCAAAATACTTATCCTGCTTGGGGTGAACCTCCTGAGGGCTAACTTATTTCAGATGATGATGGGTTGGATCTCCACCCTGTGTGAGATGTTTAGTGACTCAATGTTTTCAGCATCAAGCATTTATTCAACATTTAAGGGTGCTGTTCATGATGACTTAGTCAGCCTGGAACCCCAAAGTGCTAACCTGTCACTGGAAGTATTCACACGTAGCTGCACAGTATCCTGAAAACCAACATATTTCGCAGTTGGCCAACCACAGAGCAAGACAATAATTAATATTTGGCACTGTGGTCAGCTGCCCAGTTTTAGCTGGACAAAAATGCAACAGCATCTGACTTCTGATGACTTACCTCTGGCAATCCAGGCTCAACTCTTTGGATTTTGGGCAAATGGGATAAATCTCTACAGGTGGATAGGTAGCATTGACTTCATCCTTGGACAACCAGCAACCCAAACAAATTTCTCATTAGATTCATTTGGAGACTCTGAAATTATAGCAATGTGTATCAGATTCCCAATTGCCCAAAACCAAAATGCAGACCAAGGATCATATCTATGGTGACGATGATACTCTCTACACATATTGCTTGACCTCTTTATAACATGGTAAAATATTTAAGGTATTCTCCATATTTGCAATTATTCTTGTTGTGCAGAATATTCAAGCATTGAAAAATACCTGAAGAACATGAATAAATACAAAAGAGACAGTGTATATCATTTTCATCTCATAGGCTTTCACTGTCACAGCTCGGCAGTTCTGTATTCACTGTCAGTTAAAATGCACTGCTTGTTCCTATTTTCCGATCCATTTTCATAAGATGGTACTGCAAATAAACTGTGTGAATGAGTCCAGCAGCTGGGGATTAAGTGTACCAATTCTGAATATAAATGTTTTCTCTTCTCTGAATTGGTCATTCATACTTAAACATCCGTGCAGCTGTAGGTTCCTGCTCTGTCGAGATGGAAATCCAAAAATACCTTGCCAGTACATTGATATTTTATCAATGGAGGTTTTCACACCCCCAACTAAAAAAGGCCTATTAAAAGAAGAGATTTGGAAGTGGAAAAATTAGGCAAGTCATGCAAAATAAATTGTGCTGGAAGCCAACATATTCAAATAACCCGAAGGATTCTTGATGATTTTTAATCATTCCTGGGATTTGAATTTCACTGGTTGGACCAGCATTTGCTGCCCACCCTGAATTTATCGAGAGAAGGTGAAGGTAAGTTGCTTCCTTGATCTCCTGCAGTCTCTGAGTTTTGGTTTACGAAGGTCATGAGGAGATGGTGAGGATTTCTCTTGCTGGAGATGGTCATTGCCTGACACTTGTGTTGTGTATATGCCAACTATCAGCTGATGCCCAGATGCTGCCCAGGTCCTGCAGTAAAATGATATGAACTGTGGCAATTCAGCCCAACAAGTCCACGCTGCCCCTCCGAAGAGCATCCCACTCAGATTCATTCCTCTAGCCCTGCATTTCCCATGTCTAACCCACCCAGACATTATCGGCTATTTAGCATGGCCAATCCACCTACCCTGCACAAACCAGAGCACCCAGAGGAAACCCACGCAGACACGGGGAGAATGTGTAAACTCCACAAAGATAGTTGCCTGAGGGTGGAATTGAACCCAGGTCCCTGGCGCTGTGAGGAAGCAGTGCCAACCACTGAACCACCGTGCCAGTCTGTTTTTGCTGGGACCAGGTCTGTCTTGAGCTCAGGAGCTCAATGGTCCAGGTAGAACCGACACTGAGCATCAGTGAGAGGGTTACTGCTGAGTAAGTGCTGCTTGCTAGCCCTACCAATTACGTCTTATATTTTGTATTTTCTTATCAACCTGTTCAGAGATGTTATTGCATATCTCTGGAGCAGGTTGGACTTGAACACAAGCCTCCTGGCTCAGAGGTAGGGACACTATGAATGTGCCACAAGACC